GGACAGGATGGGAGCGGGCAGGACGGGAGGGAGCGGGTAGGACAGGAGCGGGCAGGATGGGAGCAGACAGGGCTGGAGCAAAACACAGGAGACAGAACACAGGGGAAGACAGGGGATTTGTAATGCTCAGTACGGCTCATGGGAATGGCAAAAATATTGGAAGTTAACCGTGGTTATATAGGAGGAAGCAGGTGATTGTGGTCTAAGTAGTGAGACCTGCCCTGCTGGGCGTGACAAGTGTAGCCTTCTGCCAGCAGAACCAGGATTTAACAATGCAGATTCTTAAAAAATATGGAGTGGTCCCCTAATTTTTTCCCGAGCTGTATAAGCTCTTCTTGGCATGGGCTGTGTTCATGGTACAGAATTATGTAAATGCCTCTTGTAGGCTGCTGCTTAATCACTTCACCCTGAAACCACTGAACTTCTTCCTTTGTAAGCTTTCAGAAGATTAAATGATTCAAGCCAGACAGACACCTCAGCTGGCACTGGGGTTGTGACCAGTGCTTTAGTGTATCAGCCAATGGCTTTGCTCAGTCATCTTCCCACCCCCTTTTAAATACACATATGATTGGTTAATTGCATTTTTCAACACACCTCTTACACTCCTGTCCATGATGCACAAACGCATACACCAGAATGTATGTTTCTGCTCTTTCAGCATCTGGATGTTTCCATGGTCCAGAGCAAGGCCACATCTTCCAGCGTGAACTCAGTAGACTCGATATCGAACTCTGTCCCCTAGTGACGAACCACGGTCCGGAAATGAAGGCAAGTGCTCCAGGAAGACCCCGACGGGACAGGTTGTCGGAGCCGAGAGGAGGTGCGAGCCCGTGGGACTGCGGAGCGGCAGCAAGGGAACGGACTAGATATGCGCCCAAGAAAGACGCAAACGACAGACGTAACTCGTGTACCCTCAGGACTGCCGAAATGGAAAAAAAGGTCGCCGATGTTTAAAGAGAGGAAGAATATCAGGGCATTGATTTAAAAAAAGACCACTGCAGGGAATAAAGTCTGTGTCCTTAATATTATTATATTTTTTATTATTGTTGTTATTATTAATATGGTTCATACTGTTTTTTTAAATATTTTAAGACGTTTAAATAAAAGCGCGCACACACTCGCTTAACAAAGGCTAGTTTCGCCTTGCATAATCTCAGGCCAGAGATTTTTATTTTTTTGTTATTATTGTCATTGGTGTTGTGGCTCCGTATCATGTACATTTTTTTAAACACTGCATATGCTTTCAAAAAAATTGTGACTCTTAACAGGTCGTCGTGGGAGCAGGTCAGCTGTTTGTTTATGATGATGTCATAGAGGGGAAAGAGTGGGAAGTCTGGGGAATGGGGGAAATGTGCACAGGCGAGACGCCACCTGAGATTTAGGGGTGCTAGGGCAGTTTTAGGACGAGGCGAGAACTGGAGAGACTGACAGACAGTACTGGAGGAACTGGCAGATGGATCAGCGTGAAGTAACAGTGTCCCTCTGGCTGAGACCCGGAACCCTCTGGGCTATAAGCTACCTGCGAGGGGGAGAGAGACGAGCCAAATGGAAGATGTCAGCCAAAATAAAGACTCCAGACTTGAGTGAAAATAAACACTTTTGACTGATTTAATGACTCAAGTCATTCTATGAGTTCCACCGTCACTCTTCACAACACATGTTCATTGTCAGTGGAGAGACAGACAACTGTTCACTGGGCCCTGGGGCAGGAATGGACCATGCCCCTCACCTTCCAAAGTCATACCTAGGGCCTGCCTATGCAGTTGCAGTAGTTGCAGATGATGAAATCTGAGTAGCCTCCAAATATTATACCCATCATGCACTGCAGTAGTTATTCCACAAACATGCTTTTATCGCTAAATGCACACCTCAACAGCATAGTTTGACTACAAAATATTACGAAGTATTACATTTCAAAATTGTTTTAAATATTGCACCAAATATTTTTTGTGTTGATTCCCACCATAATAATAATAATAATAACAATAATAGTTCTTTGTACTTGCATATACCCTTAAAATGATGTTGAATAACGACTTACGAACATTTCAAGTTACGGACGGCCGTTCGGAACGTATCTCGTTCGTAAGTAGAGGAGCCTCTGTACTACCAGTAGTGTGTTGATCTTGGCCACAAGTGTCTGCTTACGGTTGCTAGGCTGAGGTTTTGTGATGATGTAGGTCTGTTAGTCAGATACGCTACACCACAGACATACAAACTGTGCACTAATACAACAATCACATATACAATACCTACACACATACATATGATTACCTTGTAATGGTCTTTATGCCCTTTCTATTTCATACATTTCAGGTGCAATATTTAAAACCTGGATGTTCAAATTGGAGTCTGAGTGAGAGCCATCCATCCATCCAAAACAGGGTGGGGCTGTGCCCCCCATATAAGAATATCAATTTCAAGGTTAAAAGCTTCCATGTTCTGTTAGGGCAGCCTCTCATTTTCTTTCACTCTTAAAAAGCCTCCCAGTCTCATGATGATGATGATGATGATGATGATGATGATGATGATGATGATGATTAGATGCTAGCACTGCCTCCCTTCCTGTGCTAAATGCAGTGCTTCTCATTCAGACTAAAGAGCTCCCAACACTGCTCACCTCAACTCGGGTTATTTTTTTCTGGATTAACATCATGCAAGATCTGGAAAAAAGAGGAGAAAGAGCGAGTTAGTTCATCAAACACCCTCTTAAATAGCCTCACTTGGTGTCATCAAGTCCCAGATTCAGAATCTGATAGAATTAGTGGTCATTGTTGACACACCACAGCACACAGTGCGCAACAACGAAATGAGTCCTCTGCCCATATGTGACGTAGCAGTAGTTATCCCTGATTGTCCCCCCGATCATCATCAATCAGTTCCTGATCCAAGAACTATAACACGCGATGGCCAAGAACGATAACACTACTGACCTTCCTGAGACAAGGATGATACAGTATTAAGACAGTGACTTTATTGTGGCCTTCAACCCTGACTGAAATTCTTTAATTGCCCAGAAATAAATGTGTGATTTAAAATGTTAATTGTCATGAAAAAAATACAGGATTACAAACCTGAAAACAATACAGATAGAATTTTGTGTGTATGTGTAGATTATTGTTGTATTATCATATGTATGCATTATTATCCTTATGTGTATACAGGATATAAGACATGTAAAGTGTTCACAGAACGTCTTTGGAGGCCTGCTATAGTTAGGAAAAATATTGCACATTTATTAGTTTTCAACGAAAATCATTCATTTTCGTCAAATTATTCATTTGTTTATACACACACACACACACACATATATATATATATCACATAGAGGAAATAACCCATAGTTGATTAATTTCAAGTGGTATTAAAACTGAAACCCAAATTATAATTCTAAAAGAGCTGTTCTGAGTCAAAACGTTCATTAACAAGCAGTCTCATTGGATGCCTATTAAATTATTAAAACCTCTGCAGTAACATAGAACATCAAGCATCTATGTTCATTATCGCTTTGGGAGCCAATGACTACTATTGCAATTGATAGCAAAATGGCAAGAACAGAACTGACAGTGTGTGTGTGCGTGTGTGTGTGTACTTCATAAAAAGAAAAACTCTACAGTATGTCCAGATATGTTAAACACTGTTTGTCAATGGACTTTTAATTGCTATGAAACTTATAAATCAGATTAAAAAAATTCATCCGAATTTCTATCGGATTAAAATAATGCAAATAAAGGAATAAAACAGCTTCTTCTTTTTAACTCTCGCTTGAAAAAATAGAGACCGCTTCAGTGTTTTTATAGAGGGATTTAACTATTTTAATGCTAACTTTAGACGCTGAACGTCTAGCGACCTTTCAGTATAAAGGAGGGGCGTCTAAAACTTTGAATAAACTCTGTGCTCTTATATTGTACAGAGTAATCACTATAATCCGTACCTTCTGAACGTACTGAGAATGAGGAGCCGATTTATCACAACGTCCTTGCATGTCCGGAACTGGTGTAACAGTTCCCTCCACGATTTTCATTTTCTGTTTTTCTCATCTGTGTTATACATGGACAATGGGGCACACAGATGTCCCTGTAACACTGAACAACTCTTGCATCGAAGCGCGATTTCATTACTGGAAATTAATATGAAGCGCTGCAAAATTCACGACTCACGAATGAAAAGATCACTGAAGATGCACGTCGAGCCTGATAGTAACTATAACGTGGGGAATGGACGCATATGTGAATGACGCAAAAGGTTCTCAGATTCCTATTAATAAGCCAGGGACTCAGCGAGAGTTTAAGGACAAAGAAATAAATCATGCCATAAGTTTAGTCCTTGTGCAAAATTTACGGCTTAAATTCCTTTCCGCAAGTCAGACTCTTCCGGCAAAACAAAATCCAAAATGTCACAAATCCCTCTAACACGAACATGTTGTCATTAAAATAATATTGTGAAAAGTATTTACAAGCGTAAGCCTGAAAGTTCTGTATTTGCTCCGCAGGGATTCAGATCTTTCCAACACTTTGATATGTGAGTTTTCATAACAGCGTGTGGCAGCTGACAGACCTCAGAAGTACCTCCAGAAGTGTCAGGTGATGCCGACTTTGCAGGTGCATGGGTCAAGATGACTGCAGAATTATTTAGCGTGTCACGGGGAACAGCCTTGCTACCTTTGGCAGCATATGTCACATACAAAAAAAAGCTGCTCTACCAAAGAGGAACTGTGGTGAAACCTTACAGAAATGTTTAGATGAGCATTTAATTCAATGGTGTTTTCAGGAACTCATGACAGAAGTGAAATGTCATGACCTCAGTCACCCAATCTAAACATCACTGAATCTTTATGGGAATGCCCTGCCTTTCCTGAAGAACGCTCCAAAATACAACTACATTCTGTTTGGGACTTGAGAGTACTCCGTGAAGGACTGAAGCTGTTTTGAAGGCAAAGGGTAGCCTTACTCCATATTTACATGCTTTATTAATATATTGTTAGGTGGTTTACTTTGGCCAGCCCTAAATGACGGCAGCATTTCTCAAAAGATACACTATGTCATGTCCGATCTTACTGTGGCATCGTAACTTTCAAATGCCCCAACTTGGGAAAGTCTGTCTCATTTGTATAGTGAGATGTTCCTTTACCTCTGAGTGAAGATTGCAGGCATGCCATGTCCAGTCACAGCGTGAGCCATGTATGAGCACTGGATGTTATCTTGACAAATTGTTTATGAGAATCAGATACGCTGGTTGTGTAAGCGGGGCATCCTTGGTCAGGGTCCAGCCCACTCTTGAGTGATGCTGTTTTTATCTGTCTAGTGACATTGACAGCTTTCTGGTCACAGTATATACAGGCAGGATCTTTCTACTCCAGCAGAATCTAAACTCTCTCCTCTGACGAAGGAAATCTTTTCCATTTTTACTTACAACCGAAACTATGTTGCCTGCAACTTTTAAGCTTTGTGCAGGTATCTCTTACGGACACATGCGGAACATGACGGGTAAGGAACCATGCATCAGCCCTCGTTTTGTTTTTAACATCATTAAATCAGTTATCAATTTAAAAATATTAAGTTGGATATAGCAAGTACTTTAACTGTTCTTCCTTTGGAGCATCATTAAAACGTTGCTTAACTTGACAAACAATGTGGAACGTTTTACAGAAATAGGTATACATGGCTCGATAGAATAGTATTTGCCATTACATTTGACATTTCTAAAATTTTTGTATAATAGCAAAAGTACTTACCTATCCCAGGTGTAAATATCATATAGCCATAAATGAATAAAGACATACTTTTGGGGCTAGCTTTTAGTAATTTTTTAAACTCTCAACCTAAATAATAATGTTGACGTCTCAGTATGTTAAATGTGAGATGGGTATTTTAAATAACTAAACTTTATAAATAAATACATGAACAGAGTTGCACTGATGGCAAATGTGATTGCGCAAAGGTATGTGTTCACTTCAGTATCTTTCTAACACATTCTCATGGTCTTTAGCTACAGGGATTAATGCATTTACTCTGAATGACATTTTGTACTGGTTTACAGGACTAAGGAAAACGGCGATTGTCGCGTTGAGCCATGAAATGAAGAGGATAGCAGGTCCTGGTCCCAATCGCTGGATCAGTCAGGTCCGCAGAAGAAGTTCTCTGAGTAGTAAGTATGTATGATAGTCTTGTATAACTATACGTGTCTTACCTAGGAGGTTATAAAACTACAGACGGAATTCCTCTGCACATTGCACAGCATCTTTTGCAGGCGGCAGGGCTGAGGAGATGCCTTACAGTGAAGCAGAGATGTCCTACGTAAAGCAAGGAGAGGAGGCTCTCCAGAAGTCTATTAGGATCCTCAGTGACCAGGATGGCTGGAAGACTGAGATTGTGACGGTTAGTGTCTGATCTGTCAGAAAATACCATACTGTGAGTGCCACTGCACTCCCAGCTGCACTAGGTTGAAAATAGCTTTTATGTGATTCTTGTGTAGTTTGTTAAACTGTTTTTTTTTTTTTTTTTGGTAGGAGAATGGTGACAAAGTCCTGAGCAAGATGCTCCCAGATGTTGGCAAGGTGTTCAAACTGGAGGTGATGTTGGACCAGCAGCCTGATGATCTGTATGGAGAGCTGGTTGGCAACATGGAACAAATGGCCGACTGGAACCCCAATGTGAAGCAGGTTAAGGTATGAGGGTCAAATTAGAGCTTTTCGCTGATGCAATTATTACAAACCTGGGCAGTATGAATGGATAGCAGGTAGTCTACTGACTACCTATGCTACTGAATTTTCAGTTCTTCTGTTATGAGGATTTGCTGGTCCACCACTGAGAAAAGTATCAAAATGTACTAGATATATCAAATTATTTAAATATCCAAGACCATTTGGGACTCTTGTTTTCTTTAAGTAGCTACTCTGCAAGGTTACAGCTTCCTATTGGTTGTTCCCTCTACAGATCCTTCAGAAGATTGGTCAGGACACCTTAGTGACTCATGAGATGGCGGCAGAGACGCCTGGCAATGTGGTGGGACCCCGGGACTTTGTGAGCGTGCGCTGTGCCAAGCGCCGTGGCTCCACGTGCTTCCTGGCAGGAATGTCCACAAGCCATCTGGGGATGCCTGAGCAAAAGGGCTTTGTCAGGTGGGCTTTTTGTCAAATGTCCACGAGCAAGGGAAAGGTGGAGAAGATGCAGGACACTTACCCCTTGGTTAAAACCTGTGGTGACTGACAGCATGTGATAATCCTGCCCACTGCCTTCTCTCTCCATTAAGTACTGGATTTCTGTTGTCATGTACCATTTAGATAAAATATAAGACAAAATAATAAGGTAAATTGAAAGAGTGAGTGAGACTGTGGCCTCCAGATCGAGATTTTGGCCATTTTCCACCTCGGGTTGGAGTTTTCAAGTCTGCCCCAACTCTTTGTGTGGAGTTTGCATGTAGGTTTTCTGCAGGCATTCCAGGTGAGCCCTGTGATGGACAGGCATCACATCCAGGGTCTCCCCTGCCTCG